CTCGCGGCACTCTGGTTGTCCTCAGCCGCCTCTGCGCCTCCCCGCACTGTGCGGGCTTGGAGCCACTCGACAGGTCCCGTTTCTGTCAGTGTCCTTTGTTCCTTCCTGAGATGATTCTTTGTTACATTTGGCTGCAGGTCAGAGCTGACTTCCTAATTCATTTCGGAAAGTTGTTTCCAAATCGTTTCTGTTACAGTAACCTCTCTAGACCCCAAAGTCCACCTCCCGGCTCTCCACCGGAGCCCTTCCCTGCCTCCCCTGGTGTCTGCCGTTTGTGGGTGCCCGACCCAGGCTTTTCTGCCCTGTGGAGCTAGCGGGGGGCGTGGTGACTTGCTCCCGTTCGTCCGCTCTGCACCCACCTTGTTAGGCCCAGGCTCACCAAGTTTTCCTGAGATGAGGTACTGGGCCACACGTGTGTTTATGAGGCTGATGGCTCTTCCCATGGCTTCCAGGACTTGATCATCTTCCCTGATGACTGTGAGTTCAAGCGGGTGCCTCAGTGCCCCAGCGGGAGGGTCTACGTGCTCAAGTTCAAGGCAGGGTCCAAGCGGCTCTTCTTCTGGATGCAGGTGCGCAGGAGGGTTTGCGTGCATCTCGCCTGCTCTAGCTGTGGTCACTGAGGCAAGGCTGTTACTGTCTGTATGATAGCACTGGCTTTCCTACCAGTGATGGCTCCTGTGTGGTGCCTGGCAGGAGAGAGCTGACTGGGGCTCCCAGCACCCTCCCTGCCCCTTGTACGGGTCCCTGAAGCCCCAGAGCCGAGGCTGGTGCCTGCTGGGTCTCCTGCTTCTCTCACAGAGCATCCCATGCTCTCCCGAGCTCTGCCCTACCCCTTGCAGTGTGTTCTGGGAGGCCAAGGGTGTTGGCACCTGGGTGCCTCCCACCCACAGCTGTGGTGTCCCCGGGCCCAGGGGCTGCCGCTCCTCTGTCACCTGTTGGGTTCTTTCCACTTGCTGATGTTCAGGCAGGGGTGTGCAGACCACCCACTGCACAGGTTACTTCCTGCAAGTGTGACATAGAAGCTTGAGGTAGCTGTGTGTGGAAGGGTGTAGGCAAGCAGCGGCCCTGTGAAGGGCCGGGCAGGTGTCTGTGGCATCTGCTCCCCTGTGCCTGAGCAGCCAAGGACAGCATGGCAATCAGCAGGCGAGGCCAAGTTTGATTGATTACGCTGTATTTGTAACACGCGGGCCGAGGTTGCCAACCCGGCGCAAAGCCTCCATGGTTTTGCCAGGAGGTGTCCTGGTGTGGTGGAAGGGGCATTGACTCCACTGGTTGCAGGCAGGAGACTGATATGTGGACAGCCCCACCCATCGATCAGGGTTTTAGTCTCTTCTCTGTGAAGCCGGCATCACCTATACCCACAGTTGTGGCAGATGGGACAGCTGGATGTGGGCCCTGTTCAGGAGGTGCCGCTGTGGTCCTTGTCACCTGCCTGGCTTGGGTCCCATCTCAGTGCATGTGGCTGGGCCCAGGGCCTCCACCTCTGAGGTCTCTCAGCTCTAAGCCATCAGAGGCTGGCTGTGGCCAGGCCTTGTAAGCCACCAGACAGCTCCCAGTGCCCCCTGCCCAGCCATCATGTCCTCCCCACAGGAGCCCAAGACTGATCAGGATGAGGAGCACTGCCGGAAGGTCAACGAGTATCTGAACAACCCCCCAATGCCCGGGGCACTGGGCGCAAGTGGGAGTGGGGGCCACGAGCTGTCTGCGCTAGGCGGTAATGGTCCTGCCCTGTGTTCCTGAGGGCGTGTCTACTGTGGGAGACCTGGTCCTGTAATGGCACGGCCAGGTGTTTTGAAACGGAAGATTGTCAGGTAGAGGCCCTGTTTTCAGCTCCCAGCTCCATCCCCCTGCCCAGCTTCCTGGGACCAGAGGGGTCTGAGCTCCACCCACTGTCCCACGTGACTGATGCTTGCTGGACAGTTAGTTCAGGGACTGCCACAGGACTCAGCCGGGCCCCAGCAGACAGGTGCCATCCCAGTGGCACTGTGGTGGGTGCGGGTCTGGGCCCAGGCAGTGGATCCCGCGGCTGAGCCAGGTGTTTTCCAGGCGAGGGTGGCCTACAGAGCCTGCTGGGCAACATGAGTCACAGCCAGCTGATGCAGCTCATCGGGCCTGCCGGCCTCGGAGGACTGGGTAACTTGCTTCCTGGCTCGGGGCCCTCAAATAGGCTGACAGCTTCTGTAGGAATGCCCTAGGGTCCTATCCGTTTCCCTCCAAGCTTCTGCTGGCATCCAAGTGTGTTCCCTGCACTGCCTGGTGCAAAGGTCTCTGATGGCCTGTAGTAGGGGCCTGGGTGGGTGAGGTCTTTGGGTCCCTGTGAGGACCCGGCTGAGTATGGTGAGGGCGGGGTTCCTGCCCAGGCCCCCTTCATGGGCTGTCTTCCCGTGCTGGGGAGTGGTGGGTGTGCCTGACCCTTTGGAGATACACCTGCTGCTCCAGCTAGCATCTGGACCGGGTTTACTGTTAGCCCAAGCGTGTTTCTATGTGACGGGCAGGGCATACCTGGCTTCACAGAGAAGCCCCCAGAACACAGGCCCTGAGCTGGCCCTAGGCCACTCACCTCCTCCACCTGTCGCTTGGGAGTTCCCACTCCTCTGACCCTGGAAAGAGGCCTGGCTCTTCTAGACAGGCTGGGCTGGGGCTGGGGTCATCCTGAGCATGTGCTTCCTTGCCCCTTGTAGGTGGGCTGGGGGCCCTGACTGGGCCAGGCCTGGCTAGTTTGCTGGGGAGTGGTGGGCCTCCAGGGAGCAGCTCGTCCTCTAGGTGAGTGCACCCTCCCCGCACAGGCCCTCCCTCACGGGGCTCCCCAGGTAGCATCCCAGACCTGTGGGGTGAGCCCTGTGTGGGCATGGCCGCTCCAGCTGCTTGCTCTCCCCAGCTCCCGGAGCCAGTCGGCAGCAGTCACCCCGTCCTCTACCACCTCTTCTGCCCGTGCCACCCCTGCCCCTTCTGCTCCAGCAGCTGTGTCGGCAACCAGCCCAAGCCCCGCGCCCAGCTCTGGTAATGGAGCCAGCACAGCCACCAGTCCTACCCAGCCCATCCAACTGAGTGACCTGCAGAGCATCCTCGCCACCATGAACGTGCCGGCTGGGCCAGGCAGTGGCCAGCAGGGTAAGGATGTGCTAGCGGGCTTGTGGCAAAGCTGCCTACACCTGCTCACCAGCTTGCTGAGACCAGGTTCCTACCCTGTGTGGGCACCAGGCTCCTACCCCACTGGGCACCGCAGCCTTGAGCCCCCACCTGTCCCTCGTCAGCCACACCCAGTGGCTCCCAGGGCTGGAGTGTCATCCTCCACATGGGCACTGGGCCTCCTCAAGCTGCTGGCGCCCTCTGTTTGTGCCTAGTGGACCTGGCCAGTGTGCTGACGCCCGAGATCATGGCACCCATCCTCGCCAATGCTGACGTCCAGGAGCGCCTGCTGCCCTACCTGCCCTCCGGGGAGTCGCTGCCGCAGACTGCAGATGAGATCCAGAACACACTGACCTCGCCCCAGTTCCAGCAGGTAGACAGGCCCAAGGTGGCCTCCGCTGCTTGGGGATTGGGAGGCCCATCACCTCTCGCGGCCCACAGAGTTGGAGGTAGCCCCCATGAGCTCAGCCCCATGTGGTTCTTCCTTGCAGGCCCTGGGCATGTTCAGCGCGGCCCTGGCCTCGGGGCAGCTGGGGCCCCTCATGTGCCAGTTTGGCCTCCCTGCAGAGGCTGTGGAGGCCGCCAACAAGGGCGGTAAGTGCTACTCCTGCCTCCGGGTTGCCTTGTCTATTCCCTGGGTCTGTAGAGCATGGGCCGACATCCCAGCCACTCTGACCAGCAGTCCTGACTGCAGCTGAGACAAGTTGCCCTGTGTCTCTCACGCCTCTAGATGTGGAAGCATTTGCCAAAGCCATGCAGAACAGCGCCACGTCCGAGCAGAAGGAGGGGGAGGCCAAGGACAAGAAGGATGAGGAAGAGGACATGAGCCTGGACTGAGTGCCCTGCTGTTCCCTGGCCTGGCGTGCTAGTCCTGACCATGGTGGTGGCATTTGTGTTGTGGCTTACCTGTACCTCTGTCCATCTTACACTAATAAAGGCTTTTCTTTACCTGCCACCTCTGCTATTCTCTGTGCCCAGCATGAGGTAGGTGGAGCTGACTGACTGCCTCAGGGCCCAGAGTGTCATGCCTCCAAGGACCTGGTCACCCTCACTGCCCTCAAGGGTGGCCCCATGTCCAGCTGGTCCCAGGTCTGTCTCAGGACTCCTTTCATACTTGACACTGAGTTAAGCAGAAGTTACGTTTTAATTTGTTTTAAGAAGGACCCCTGGTTGACAGATCTCATACTATTACAAGTTGGTGAAAGGTAGGAAACATAAAAACCCCATTTTTACAGTAGTTTACTCTTTCACTGAAAAGATATAACTTAAACCATTTCTAGAAACAAGCTCAGCCACCATAGAACCCCAAATCCAGATGAGTACAGAGATCTGTGAACATGCGGAGAGCCATGAGACGCCGAACATGGGCCAGGGCTCCATGGTGTCAGGACAGCCCTGGGAGCGGGTCCAGCCTTTGCCAGGGTTGGGGGGCACCCTATGTGGCCGGACAGCCACTAGCCCCTACTGCTCCCTGGACACGAGCAGAGGGCGTCACAGCAACAGGGGATTGGTTCACCACCAGTTTCCTCATGCAGCCACTGTAGGCGGGAGGTGCAGGCTGCAGGGCCATGGGTTCTGGGGGTACAGGGGAGACAGAAGGGCCAGCTGGAGCAGCAGCAGGGGTCCCACAGGCCCTCCCCACCCAGCCTGCCCTCAAGGGAACAGGCCCTTCTGGCACCTGGCCCAAAGGGCAGCTCCCACACTCACCAGGAAGACCTCCGAGGTGCAGAGGAGCCACTGCATGGGCCAAGATGGCCAGCGGGGGGCCCACAGTATGGTTGCTCTGTGCATCCACCTCCAGCCGGAGCACATTCCCACCTTTGGTCACTGCAGGGCAGATGCCTGTGGCCAGCCAGTCTGCCCCTGGCCCCAGCCCTAGCCCAGTCCCCACTCTGGCCCCCACCTGGCCCCAGCCCACCCGAGTCCCTCTGCAGAAGGCTGGGATGGGGTTGTCCCTGGCCATGGGAGGTGTTCCTCACCTGCCAGTCGGTGCCACTGGCCATCACACAGCGCTGTGGGGCGTGTCACCAACGTGGAGAACTCCCCTGTCCCGTCATCTGCCCGGAGCAGGACCTGGCAGAAGGCAGGGAGGGTCAGGCCCAGCCACCCAAGGCCACCAGAGTGGGGAGGTGAGTCCCGCTCTGGTGCTGCAGCCCCCGTCAGGTTTACCTGCTTTCCGGTCACTTGCAACTGCAGGTAGGGGGAGCCCTGGATCCTGCCCAGGTGGAAGATCAGGCCAGACACTGCCAGGGGCCGCACTTCTAGGTCCAGCCTCACGTTGGGCAGTGTGGCCACTGGGGAGTCTGTGGGGAGGGTCCATGATGGAGGAAGGCCCGGCCTCCCCAGAATTTCCCAGAGCCCCCCAACTAGTATGGCCTCCTTCCCCTGCCGTGGCCCACCCCTAGAGGCAGCACCCACAGACCTAGAGTGACGACTCCCCCACTGCCTGGGAAGAAGAGGCCCTCCTCCAGGGGGCCTGGGACGCAGGCGGTGACCCCCACCATCCGTGTGGGGGTCCCCAGAGGCCTCCTGCCCAGCATTAGTCTTGTCACACAGCCGTTGAAGCCGACAGTCACCGGTAGGGGCTGCTGAGGATGGTGGCTGACGGCCAGGCTGGGCAGGGGGTGTGGCATAGTGGGTCTCATGGGCAGAATAGAGCTGTGGTTGCCAGCCGGGAGGCCCCCCACAAAGAGGGTGTAGGGCTGGGGGTGTTTCTCCCTCTGGGGCTGCTGCCAGGGCTGCTCCTGTCTCCAGGCCCGGGTCCCATCTGTTACCAGCTGAATCCGATTCTTCTCCCAGTGCACGGACACCTGGGGGGGTGGTCAAGGGGAGTTCCCAGGATACTGCCTGTTCTGTCTCCTGGGTCCTCACCCCCTTCCCCGCATTTCCTCTCCCTGGTCTTCACCCCCAACCACCCTCATTCCCCCTCACAGCTTCTCACCCTGTTCCCTCTCCCAGGTCCTTACCCTACCCCTCCTGCCCCCGCTCCCTGCGCCTCACCCCATTCCCTCTTCTGGGTCTCCATCCCACCTGGGCCCTCACCCCCACCCCCATTCCCTCCTCTGGGTCCTCACCGTGTGCCAGCGGCCAACTCGGGAACGCCGCCGGCTCTGGACACGGAGCCGGGGCCTAGGGCCTTCTATCTGAGCAACAAAGTGTC